CAATGATTACATTAATTTAGATTTGTTATGTTTTAACTGAGAATATATTACCATAGTTAAATATTACAAACATTCTCATAGAAGACATAAGAAAATTGGAATTAAAATAAAATGAAATTAACAGTACAATTCCTTTTATGAATTGTATATTGTGCCTATAGATTAGTAGTTGTGCTGTACAGTTCACCTTTGAACAACACTGGTTTGAACTGTGCAGCTTCACTCATATGCACATTTTTTTCAATAACTACCTAGGCAGCCACCTTCTGTATTTCTCGATTTCACATGTGATTCTACCAACTGTGGATTAAAACCAGTATTTTAAGTCCATGGTTGGGAATCTGAGGATGTGGAGGCTGACTGTATGTCTTGCACTGTGCCATCTGTACATACGTATATGGAAGCCTAAGTGACCAGCCTACCCATCAACCGACTGACCGACTGGTATCTGTGATGCGCACCTATGCAGGAGCTTCTCCCTGGTGGTCAGTGCGCTCCCACAAGGGCAGCATCTCTCAGACAGAGGCCAGACTCATGTCTCATGGTGAGTGTGCCTAAGTTGTCAGTTGGACATCTCCAAGGGCTCCTGGACTGCGAGAGGACGCAGGCTGGGCCGAAGGGACCCCCTGCCCCCCTGAAGTGCACGAATCTTGTGCATCGGGCCTCCAGTTTTATATAAGGTAATTGACTATCCATAGATTTGGGTATCCAAGGTGGGTCCTGGAACCAATTTCCTGTGGATATAGAAGGACAACTGTAGGTACGTTTTTGGGGAGCCAAAAGTTGTATGTGGGTTTATTCTACAAACAAAATTGTGCATTGCTAGCTCTTTTAAAAGGTAGTCAATATGAGGCTGTTCAGCTGCATGGAGTTTATAGGATGGTGTATTAGTTTCCTAAGGCTTATGAAACAAGTATTACAAACGAGGTGGCTTAGAAGAAGGGAAATTTATTGTTACACAGTTCTGGAGGCCAGAAGTACAAATTCAAAAGTGTTGGCAGAGCTGTGCCCTCTGATCATACTAAAGAGAGATCTATTCTAGGCTTCTCTCCCAGCTTCTGTTAGCCTTAGGGGTTCCTTGGCTTGGAGATGACTGTCTTTCCCTGTCTCTTTTCACATTGTCTCCCCTTTGTGTTTGTGTCTAAATTATTCCTTTTTATAAGGATACCACTCATTAGATTAGGGTTCACCTTAGTATCCACATTTTAACTTGATAATTTCTGTGTAGACCCTATCTATACTAATAAAGAGTAATATGCTAATTAGACCGGACATGTTCTGGACATCCTTCCTGACGAAGCTGGGGGAGGGAAGCCATCCCCGGTCCCAGTTGCCAGAGGGAAGCTGGTACCAGCAGGCAGGGGAAGGAAGGCCTTTCGTGCATCAGGCCTCTAGTTTCTAAATAAGGTCACATTCTGAGCTACGAGAGTTAAGACTTCAGTATATCCTTTTTTTAGAAATACTGCTTTAAGGTTTGTCAGGAGTAAATAAGATAGTGCATATCAGATATCCAGCTCAGTAAATGTTAGTTCCCTTCTTCAATTCTTTAGGTGTCTGCTGGGAACCCTGTATTTATTTTAATGGATGATTGAACTCATAATCACAATGTATGAATTCCCTATATCAGCAGAATGAATTTTAGTAACATAGTACATCTCTTGATTTGCCTGCACATTCTCTTCTTACTATAGGTGAAAATCCCCAGTTAATTTTTTAAAAATTACTTTATTGATTAAGGTATATATTTGTTCTCTTCTCCCCCCCCCCCTTTCCCATCATAAACCCGTCCCCACATTCACCCCCCTATTGTCCATGATCACTGGTTAGGCTCATATATATGCATGCAAGTCCTTTGATCCCAGTCAAAATTTAGGTCAGTTTCAGGGTGAGTGGAAAGGGGAGGGGGGAAAAGGCTGGGGTAGGTCTGACCAGCATAGTGGTAGTGTCAATTGAAGACAATGATAGTCAGGGACTGGAAACCTCTGACAAATGCACTTCTCCTCTCTAGGGACTAAGAGCCTTAGTAGTCTTGAATTATACTTATCTCTTCCTTGATTTTTTTGTAATGTACCATTTTGATTCCCTTCCTTCCTTTTCCATATATATATATATGTGTGTGTGTGTGTGTGTGTGTATGTGTGTATATATATATATATATATATATATATATATATATGTTTTTTTAAACATATTTTATTGATTTTTTACAGAGAGGAAGAGAGAGGGATAGAGAGTCAGAAACATCGATGGGAGAGAAACATTGATCAGCTGCCTCCTGCACACCCCCTACTGGGGATGTGCCCGCAACCAAGGTGCATGCCCTTGACCAAAATCGAACCTGGGACCTTTCAGTCTACAGACTGATGCTCCAACCACTTAGCCAAACAGGTTTCGGCCTTTTCCGTATATTTTTTAGTTTTCTTGGGGATTACAATTATCTTAAATTGATGACAACTTATTTTTAATAATACCAATAGTACACTAACACTCTGGTTCTACATATATTAATGATGCACCCATTAACACAGTTTTCTAATTGTTGTTTAATGTGTTTTCCTTTTATGTTATACTAGAGGCTCGGTGCATGAAATTCATGCATGGGGGTGGGGGGGTGTCCCTCAGCCCAGCCTGCACCCTCTCCAATTTGGGACCCCTTGAGGGCAATCTGACATCCCTCTCACAATCCAGGACTGCTGGCTCCCAATTGCTCGCCTGCCTTTCTTCTTGATTGCCCCTAACCACTTCTGCCTGCCAGCCTGATCACTCCTTAACCACTCTCATGCCAGCCAGATTGGTATCTAACTGCTCCCCTGCCAGTCTGTTTGCCCCCAACTTCCCTTCTCTGCAGGTCTGGTCACCTTTAACTGCCCTCCACTGCAGGGTTGATCACCTCCAACTGACCTTTCTTGCAGGCCTGGTCCCTCTGAACTGCTTTCCCTTGAAGGCTTGGTGCCTTCCAACTGCCCTCACCTGCTGGCCATCTTGTGGTGGCCATCTTGTGTCCCTGTGTGTGTGTGTGTGTGTGTGTGTATCTGTGTGTGTATCTTTGACCACATGAGGGGAGTGATGGTCAATCTCCATATTACTCTTTTATTAGATAGAGGCCTGGTGTATGAGTGGGGGCCAGCTGGTTTGCCCTGAAGGGTGTCCCAGATCAGGGTGGGGGTTCCCTTGGGGCGTGGGGCAGCCTGAGCGAGGGGCCTGTGGTGGTTTGCAGGCCAGCCACGCCCCCTGGCGACCTACGCAGAGGCCCTGGTATCTGGGATTTATTTACCTTCTATTTACCTTCTACAATTGAAACTTTGTAGCCTGGAGCAGAGCCAGGCCTCCTGCTCGCTCTGGCTGGCAGCCATTTCTGTTGGGATTTGTGTATCTTCTATAATGGAAACTTTGTAGCCTTAAGTGGAGGCCTGGGCTGGCCAGGGTGTGCTCTCTGTGGCTGCAGCCATCTTGGTTGGGTTTATTTGCATACACGCTCCTGATTGGCTTATGAGCGTGGCTTGTGGACATGGCTTTTGGGTGTGGTAGAGTGCTGGCTAATTTGCATATTACTCTTTTATTAGGTAGGATATGAAAAAGGGGGGGTTAAAATAAAAAGTACAGGTATGTATGGGAGGGGGGCAATGGTAAAATATGTACACAGATAATAATTTAATAAAAAATAAAATAAAAAGTATAGTTATAAGATAAATGAGTACTGAAGATGTGATGTACAACATGATGACGATAACTAACACTGCTGTATGATATGTAAGAAAGTTGTTAGAGTAAATCCTAGGAGTTCCCATCACAAGGAAATATTTTTTCTTTTTATTGTATCTGTATGAGAAGATGGATGGATGTTAATGAAGCTACTGTGGTAATCCATTTACAATATATGTAAGTCAAACCATCATGCTATGTATTTTAAAATTATACAGTGATGTATATCAATTATTTCTCAGTAAAACTAATATAACTCCCAAAAGTGCAATAATACTTTTACATTTATCTGTGTTTTTTATTTTCCTACATGACTGAGTTATTGCCTAGTGTCTTTTCATTTTAGCTGGAAGGGCTCCCTTTAGTATTGTAGGATAGGTCTACTGGTAATGAATACCCTTAGATTTATTTTGGAATATCTTAATTTTTCTTCTACTCCTGAAGAATAGTTTTGACATTTTTAGAAATTCGTTGACAGTTTTTCTCTCCTAGCACTTAAAATGTTATCCTCTGCTTTCTGGCATCTGGTTTCTGATGAAAACTCTGCTCTCAATCTTGCTGCAGATCCTTTGTGATGAGTTTCTTCTTTCAAGATTTCGATTCTCTATCTTTTATAATTTTTCTGTAATGTGTAGATCTTGTTGAAGTTTTTCTGTACCAAATTTGTTGAACTTCTTGGATGTGTAAATTCAGGTCTTTCATAAAATTTGGGAAGTTTTGGGCCATTATTTCTTCAGGTTTTTTATTTTTTATTGTTGCTTTCCTCTTTCCTTCTGTTTGGGATTCTCATGCATATGTTGGTATGTTTGGTGGTATGCCATAGGTCCCTGAGTATCTGTTCATTTTTCTGAATTATTTTTTCATTTTGCTCTTCAGACAATAATTCCAACTGCCTTATTTTCGAGTTCATTGATTTTTTTTCTCCTGCCTATTTAAATCTGCCATTGAACTCCTTTATTGAATTTCTTATTTCAGTTATTATACTTTAAAAAGAAAGCAAATAAAAAATCTGGAATTATTATAATTATAATCTCTTTATTGACGTTCCCTATTTATTCATACAGCAGTCTCCTGATTGTCTTTAGTTCTTTTGTTTCCTTTTGTTTTTGAGTATGTATAAGACAATTGATTTAAAACCTTTGACTGAAATTCCAGAGGAAGGGAATGGTGGCTGTGTTGCACACTCCTCTCTATTTTTTTCCAGTAATGTTAGGTAGTTATAAAGAGCATAGTAATTTAAAGGATGTCTTCATAATGCCTACATTCATTGTGATTTTATTTTTATTTTTGTTTTGTAGGGCGCCAATGCCTCGGCATTAGAGAAAGAGATTGGTCCAGAACAATTTCCAGTCAATGAGCACTATTTTGGATTAGTCAATGTAAGTATTCATTGATGGTTAGCCTTCAGAATTAAGTTTGGAAGTAGGTTTTAAAAATGATGAATGCATTTCATAATTCATTAAAGAAAACATGTTCATTTATATCAGTAGATTTAATGCCAAGAAACTTGATTTGGAATTTTTAATTTATCTTTAATGTCAGGGAACAAAGTTATCTGATGACTTAAGTGTCTTAGAGATAGAATAGTTTCTACTTATAAGCCTGATGTTTTCTATTTTGTGTCAGAATTTTCTCATAACCAAAATTTCATATGGTTTAGACCAAATGATCTCTTGATTCTTTCAGATCTAATTAAATGTCTACATATAAGTGGTCCAAATAGTTTAGTCAGTTCTCCATGTCTTGAGATAAGGTCTTTGTCATTTTACCTCTAACATTGTTCTAATATAAATATAAAAGTACAAAGTATGGGGGAAAAATACATCCTCAATCCTTGTGGAGGTAATTCTGGTAATTATACATTTTTGAAATTTTGGAAGAACCTGCTTTAGAATTTTTAACACTTCTGCAACATCAGTAAACACCACAAATCTGTATTATATAATGATTGTGGTAATTAATATACTATTGTGCTATACTGTTAGGTGCATCCATGGTGAGTATTTAAAAATATGCTACATATGGTGTTATAGGTAATTAAGTTAAATTGAACAAAATTAGTGTGTCGCTAAATACTAGTATGTAATTATGATGTGTGAGATAGATTTCTTGTGTGATTTGGGAAAAGCAGTTGGAGTGACATGTATACCCTCACCTGCTCTGGGAATCACATCTGCAAGTGTAAAGCTTATCACAAAAAATAGGCAGTCTCCACCCTCTAGCCCCTCTGCGGTGAAGACTACTTATTACTTCTCAGACTATTTTTTTCTGGGATTTATCCGTAGGTTAATAAAGATTTGTACTTCAGGCTACTTGGCAATTGTGTTTTCTACTTTTAACCTTTTTCTGTAAGCCCTTAAATTACTACTTCTGTTTCTTTCTTGCTCCACTCTCGGTTTTTTATTTGTAGATTTATACTATAGGAGTTTCTTAAAAATTAAGGTTAGAATTTTGGGTCAAGGGAGGGTTGCTTAGTTAATTCAGAGATTGACATTTCAACTTTTTTTATTTCCTGTTCCTGGAAGCTTTCTTTTGTTGAAAAATATCTTACTTGCATGCCAGCTATTTATACAGTAAGCTAATTATTTGAAAATAAGTTGTTTTATTCTGATAAACCAGATTGCCTTCTTCCCTGTTTCTTGTAGCTAATGAGTACTTAGAGTTGATAGTAAATTGCATTTTCTACTTTTTGTGCAGTTGATACATTTTTAATAGCATATTTGCATTATTTTATTGTATAGTTCTACATTAATTTTCTAGTACAATAATCCCTAAACTTAAGAGGTTGAGCTCATTAAATCTATTTGTGAGGCTACCATGGGATGTGTTTCCCTCTCAAATCTTTGTTATAAAATTACTAGAGGCCTGGTACATAGCATTCATGCACTGGGGGTGGGGTCCCTCAGCCCTGCCTGTGCCCTCTCGCAGTCCAGGACTCCTTGGGGGTCCTTAGTGCTACCACAGAGTCTGGCTTCTGGCTGAGTGGCGCTCTCCCTGTGGGAGCTCACCCACCACCAGGGGGCAGCTCCTGCGTTGAGCGTCTGTCCCCTGGTGGTCAATGCATGTCATAGCAACTGGTGGTTCCACCATTTGGTAGATTTGCATATTAGCCTTTTATTATATAGGATAATTGTGTTCCTAGATCATCTTATAAAAGATGAGTTGCTAGTAGTCATTAGTTGGAATTCCAGATCTAGGGAACAAGGGCCATTATGGATGAGAGGGAGAAATAAAAATGAAACTTTCTACTTGTGGGTTATGAAATTGATTAGGTAAATGTCTCTTAGTTCTGTTTTCTTTTGCAACAATTTGATGGCCATTGGCTAATTGAATTTTACGTTATCCGAAATCCCAGAGAATATCCACATCAGACCTGACAACTCTGGTCCAGATTCTCTGGCTAAATTGGATCAAGTGCCCCACACTGCCAAGTGCCCAACCTATAAAAGGATTTGTGATTGATAGACAGCCCTACAGAATTTGCTTAGAGAAACCAGTTTGTAAAAGGAAGCAGGGGGTAGTAGAGAAGTGTGTAGTGTAGGTGACAGACGTCCGCTAGCATGTGGAAGGACACTTTCGGATTAGATCCACTTGGCTGCAGTGAGGGTTTGGATAGGGCAATATGAAGTATAGCGTTACAGACAGGGCCACCTAAACAGAAACAGTGGTCCCAGGGAAGAGGGCCTTTCCTAGAGAGGGATGTTCACAGGACAGACACCAACACCAACCTCACCATGGGGCATAGTGGAGCATTTAAACGTTTGTAAATGGTTGATATAATGTTAAGACCAGTAGTCTCTAAAAGTAATATAAAATGATCTTAGGGAAATAGGAAGAAAATATTAGAATTTCTAAGCTTCATTTTAATTTTAAAATGAAACTTAGATTAAGCTTTACTAATTCTAATAAATGGATGATACTGGCATCCATGCCATATCCTCATCCTCATGTGAAATGGTGTGCTGTTACCTCAAGTCCAGTAGTGCCAAAAAGATAATAGTATAACACTCTCTTATTCATGTACTAGAGGCTTGGTACATGAAATTCGTGCATGGCATAGGGGGTATCCTTCAGCCCAGCCTGCACCCTCTCCAATCTGGGACCCTCGAGGGATGTCTGACTGCCGTCTCACAATCCAGGACTGCTGGCTCCCAACTACTCCCTTGCATGCTTGATTGCCCTTAGCTGCTTCTGCCTGCTAGCCTGATTATCCCCTAACCACTCCCTTGCCAGCTGGATTGCCCCTAACTGCCCTCCCCTGCCACCTGGTCCCTTGCAATGTATTATAATTTAAATATAGACTTAGAGATTATATGATTTAATTTCAGTTATGCTAATTCTTCAAAATGGCCAAATAGCTTTAAAAGGTTATTTCAAAGGTAACTGAATGATAAGGTGCTAGGAACTATCCTAAGTGCTTTGTGCAGATTATTTAATACTTTACAAGATACTAAGAAGTAGGTGCTGTCATAAACTCCATTGTTCAGTTGAGAAGCTGAGGAACAGAGCAGCTTAATAATATTCCAAGATCAAGTAGCAGAACCAGACTCAAACTTAGTTTGGCTTCATGCTTCAGGTACGCTTAGTTGCTTTGCTGTGTTTCTCATAAGACAGATAGTTATTGAATGAATTCAAACACATTTGGCAGATAAGAGTTTAAAATTTAACACTATAATTTAGAGAGCAAATGCCATAAAGGAAACTCTTTTCCATTTAGATCTACATATGTATCTTCTTTGTGAAGCTATCTTTTTCAACTTTGATAGCTATTCAAACTCCATATCCAAATAACTCACACTATTAAATCACTGTATTAAAATCTATAACTCAATTTATAAAACAACCCCAAACAAATTCCAGTTTAATTGCTCTCACTTAAATATCAATAATTTTTAGTGGAAATAAAAAAATTAGTATAAGTAATACAAAAATTTCAGGTGTTAACTTCATTTAAATCACAGTTATATTTTTAGTGTACACAATGTGTTACATATAGAATTTATAAACTATGTATATATTAGGGATATATGCTTAAATAATCTATATTGATGTGCATATAATAAATATTTACTGGAGGGGGCATTTTTTAAGGTTTAGGGGAAAAGTCATTAGAGAAAGCAAAAATAGGTCATTGTGTTCAACATGTAGTTGAAAAAAAATCAATGATCGGGTCCTGAGGAGAGTGGCAACTTTTAAAATTTGTTTCCTCTGATTTTAATTCTAGTCATATCTTTGATCATCAGACTCAGCAGGAAAAACCACAGGTTAGATTTCAACCCTAAAGAATGTCTTTTTTCAGAAATTGAGCATTCAGAAAAAAGAAGAATAGAGGAAGTCATCCCAGGCACTTTTTTGTATCAGTATTTACTTTAAGGATCTAACTTTAGGTCTTAGGAACTTGAATGAAAGTTACTATTAAAAATCAAACAATTGAAGTTTCAAAGTTGTGAATAAGATGAAAAGTTAGCATATTCTGAAGAAATACTTCAGCCTTTAATATTTCTTTGGTGGGATGGATGAAGGTAAGTAAATGAAGGCTATACTAGAAACCTCAAATAAGTGATTATAATGTTACCATTTGATTTATATTCAGAAGATGAGCAAGGGGCTGACTTTCAACCCTCTGTACAAAATATAGATTTCCTCTAGTTCTTCAGCTTATCCCATTTACTTATGATTTTTTTATAGGTAGATCAATCTTCATTATAAAATTTTCTAATATATTGTGAGATGCTATCTTTTGTTTTTATCTACTTCCTCTGTGGAAGTTGTCAGAGACCTTATTGCTTATTCTTTAATAAAAATATCCAAATTATGGAGATTATATCTTCAATTGACAGAGCCATAGTTTGCTGGTCATTGTATTTTTCAAATTAGTACTAATTGGTAAATTAATCTTTATAATTATAGGTTCAACTGCGGGTATCCTTAGCCCCTGAATAAGCTTTATTGAAGTATATCCCTAGTTATATTTATAAACAATAATATTAATGCAGCATCATCACACACTTCTTTTAGCATTTCTCTAGAAAGCCTTTAAATCATCTGCCCAGTAAATAAAAAGTGGTGGTACATTTATACCATGGAATACTATGCAGCAATGAAAAAGAAGGACCTCTTACCCTTTGAGACAGCATGGAGGGATCTGGAGAGTATTATGCTAAGCAAAATAAACCAGTCAGAGAAAGACAAGTATCCACATGATGTCACTCATATGTAGAACCTAATGAACAAAATAAACTACCGGTAATGAACAAAATACATCCAGAGACATAGAAGCATAGAATAGACTGACAAATCTCAGAGGGGAAGGGAGAACAGGGGTGTGTGGATGATAACCCAAGAACTTATGAGTATATGCATAACCTATGGATACAGACAATAGTGTGGTGAAGACCTGGGAGGAGGAAAGGGTTAGGAAGAGGGGGGGTCAATGGGGTGGGAGGAAGGAAGGGGACATCTGTATTACTTTAAACAATAAAGATAAATTTTTAAGAAAAGCATCTGCCTTTATGAAATCAGCTCTTGGCTCTGATTAACATTATGAATGGAGAAGTCATATATCCTCTAGGAATCTCTTATCCCTATTCCTGCTTTTGTGGTATTGTTTAATTTGTTCTTTTGTTCCTTAATGTCTTATAAATTGGTAATTCCATCTAGACACTTGACAAAAGTTTACTGGTTGTGTTTTGTAAGACAAGAATGCTTTATAGGAAATGTTTTATATTACTTCACAAGAATAAAAATTTATTGTTCATTTTTAATGATGTTGGAATGCATTGGGGGTTCAGGTCTTCATTTTAAAGTTTCATATCAATCTTTAACCTAATGTTTTTAGTATCTATTGATAGTTTTTGCCTAATTCATTATTTACAACCATTTCTTCTGAATTTATTAGCTGAAATTATCTATGAACAAGAATTTACTTTTTCAACTATTTAGTGCCCCCTGAAATAAGGTTCTTACATAAAGGCAAGATAAAACTTGCTTTCTTACTATATGTTAGTTTAGAACCTCCATTGGAGACTAATGATAGAGTTTTTAAAATGTTATTATTAATTCATAGATTTTTATGCAGCTGATGTGCTCTTTATTCGTTGTGGTAATTCTTGATGCAAGTTGGCTTTTATATCCACACTGAAATATTCTCTAGGCTAATCTTATAGATTGTTCATTTCCTGTCTCAGACCTTGCATAACCCTATCTGCAAGATGTTTTAGTTCCTTCCTGTGGGAAAAGGCTTTTTGAAGCCACAGTGTGGGTACAGGGAAAGCTTATTGCTGCTAGGCCTTTTCGGTGGACAGACCTTGAACAAACACACATTCTCTCTCTCAGATTTACAAAAAGGCACCATTTTATACTGATATTTTTAATTCCAATGTAAGTTTATAGGGCTTTTACTCTGTGACTTGTATTGTTATCTTTTTTCTCTTTACATTAAAAATTTTGGTTCCTAAGGATATTAAAATAATCCCTTGTTTGCTTTGTCCTACAGTATATCTGTACTAGTTTTAAAAAATATCAGTGGATTAGTTCTAACAGTATGTCTGAATGTTTTATATTTGTTCTTTATTCTAGACTATATTTCCACGGTATGTATAGTAAAAATTCTGTTTTAAAGTTGTTTGAAGTTATTTATTTATTTATTTTTAATCTTCACCTGAGGATTTATTTATTTATTTATTTATTTATTTTTAGAGAGGAAGTGGAAGGGAAGGGGAGAGACAGAGAAACATTGATGTGAGAGAGAGACATCGATTGATTGCCCTCCTCATGTGCCCCAACCAGGGATTGAGCCTACAATGGAGTTACATGCCCTGAACTAAAATAGAACCCAGTATGCAAGCTGACCCTCTGTTCCCTGAACTAAATTGGCTAGGGCCTTACTTAGCCTTTTAAATTAATATATATATATATATGATCTCACCCCATGGTAATACTGTAAAAATTATCATCATTCCTTTTTTACAGTATTAAAGTACTCCCCAAACCCTCATTCATAGATTTTTCGGTGTATTTTAATCAGCTTACTTTAGGAGCCAATGCCTATTAGTGGGAAGGGAAAAAGAAGGCAATAGATGTTTATTAAGCTCTGTGTCATTTTCTCTGTAGTTAGTATAGTTTTTCCTAAAGAGGAGGAAATTGAAATTCAGTAAGGTGTAGTGACATACTCCAGATTACATGGCTAATAAGAGACAGAGCCATACATAGTTTAGAATATAACTCGGGTTAAACTTCATTTCTTTCTAACAGAGCAAGAATAAGTCATCTAGCATTTCAGTGGGTTGTAAGGTTCATATTGAAGATTTTTAATGTAATATTTCAAAGAGTCTTGTTTTTTCTAGCTTTTTTGTTTGTTTGTTTTTGGGTGGCCCTTAAGAATCTGATTAAAAAATACACACCTCACTTTTGTGTTTTTAAAATAATTTTTGAAAGTTATATTTTTAAATGTATAATATATAAAATGCTTAATATACAACCAATACTATCAATAAAAAGGGAATTTTAAAATTATCCAGAATCTGAAACCCTTACTAACATTGCTATTTAAACTATATAGTTCTTTAAACCAGTTTTCAGAAAGGCCAGATTTATTGCATATATTTTCTTTCAATTTTAATCTGAGACCGATGTCTAGATGACCTGTTTATTGTTTATATGCCTGGTTTGCAGTAAGAATAACTTTCTGTTTTTTAGATACCTTTTAATATGTAAGGATCAAAAATATCTATCTCTTTCTCTTCTCTCAGCTATACACATGGAAATTCTTTCTCTTAAAAAATCTGTTGTCTTAAATTTAACCCCCAATTTTTTTTTTTCTATTCTAGTTTGGGAATACCTGCTACTGCAATTCAGTTCTTCAAGCACTTTATTTTTGTCGTCCATTTCGGGAAAAAGTTCTCGCATACAAGAGTCAGCCTAGGAAGAAGGAGAACCTTCTTACGTGCTTAGCGGATTTGTTCCATAGCATCGCCACCCAGAAGAAAAAGGTTGGAGTAATACCTCCCAAGAAGTTCATAACAAGATTACGGAAAGAAAATGGTAATCCTTTTACTTGAGAAGATCTCATGTTTCTCCTGATTAGGGAACTAATCTCAGCTATCAAGACCTAACTGGCATCTCAAAAGCCCTATTTCCAAATAGTATCACATTGGGGTTTAAGGTTTCAACATAAGAATTTAACAGGGACACAATGTATGAAGTCCATAACATGATCTGTTAGTGTACAATGATTTTTAAAATTTTAGATTGACTCCAAGTTCAAATTACTGTGTTGTGAAAGTTCTCTGTGGTTAAATACCCATAGCTTTATATGTTTGGTTCTCAAAGCTGGTATAAAAATGTGTTTATTATGTTTTAATTGTTGACTATTTTCTGAATTTTTTGTGTTTAGGCAGAGTGAATTGATGCACAATATACTTCTTAAATACCTTGTTGAATGAGACTAATTCTAGATTAAATATTCCAGACCCATGTTTTTGTACTTTAGAAACAATATTTAATAGAAAAGCATTTTTATTATTTTGATGCTGGTGGTATTTTTAAGTATGTTTTGAAATGTATTTTTAGCTTTTGAATTTTTCCTGGATAATTATCTAGAGAACAGCATACAAATCAAAGAAGATTTCATAGGTTATCCATTGCATAACTTCCTTCTGAGATTTTATTTGCTGGTTTATTTTAAATCTCTGCAAAAATATGTTGCCCATATTTCCACTAACTTTCACTGTTTCTCTGTTCTTAAATGTTTCCTTCCATGTATGTTATAAACCTGTTTTATATTCTCAGTAGATACTAACTTCATATATAAGGCAACAGTAGATACTACTGTTGCCTTGTATAACCATTTTTATATCCTTTGGAAAGAATCTATTTTAATTTTAGTAATGAAATTTTTTTTTTTTAAAGTTTTGTGTCATCCAGTCAAAACATAAGAGAACTGTGACACAGTGCTCCTAAGTGTAGTATGATCAGACTTGCTCCATACCTCTTATCTTTGATGATATGAAACTGGCTGAATATTTGAATTATTATATATTTAGTTTCTAATGTGTACCAGGCACTATGCAGAACTAGGGACACAGAAATAAGACAAAGCCTCTTGCTTTGAGGGAGCTGACATTCTAGTGGGGAAATCAAACAATAAACAGTTATGTATATAATGTACCATAGCTGTGCTGAAAAATAAACCAGGGAAAGGGGTTGGAGAATGAGGGAGTTGATAAGTGGCATTAGATTAGAGCTTTGAAATGAGAAACAAGCCATTAGAGGGTCTGAGGTAAATTGTCTTAAAGAGATAGAACAGAAACTGCAATTGCCTTAAGTGCTGAAAGGACATCAAGAGAATTAGTGTAGCTAGAGTGGGGTAAGATGAAGATAAAGTTAGAAAACGGCAAGCCCTAGACCTTGGGTTTTATTTTGAAAGCTGTGGGAAGCCATTGAGGGTTGTGGGCAGATGGACAGGTGATATGTTCTAATCTGTGTTAGGGAAAGAGCCCCCTGGCTGCTAGGTGGCCACCCTGTGGGAATTGGTAGGCTGAGCAACATGAGAAAAGGCAGGGAAACCAGCCAGGGGACTGTTTCAGTGATCTAGGTAAGAAATGAAACCATCTGTTTAAAATTAGTAACTTGCTCCAGGCTTTCTATTATTTTGGAAGAATTAAAACACAGGTTGGTGATCTAATTATGTAACCTAGAGTTGATTCAACTGGAGAGAGTGGAATCATTTACGGCGGCCGTGAGCATCAGGTCAGATGGCATCTGCAGCTGTCTCTGACACTGAATCTTGACATTGTACATAGTTCATATTGTTGTTTTGGGTCATATTTAGTCTTCTCAGGTAGTTTTTAGATGTTTCCATCCCTGTTCCTTGTTAATTTGTTCATTCATTCAAAAACTGTCGAGTCTATCTGCTACGTGGCAGGCACTGTTCTAAGTGCTGGGGATACAGCTGTAAATGAGATAGAAAGGGTCCTGGTCTAAAGGATCCTGTATATATAATAATGTCAGGTGCTGTGGAGAGGTACAACATAAGTCAATGTATATTTATTTATTTTTAGGTGTTGGTCTTCCTCAAATGAGGAAATACTAGTTTTTTATAAATAACACTTATTAAACATATTTGAGTAAATAATTTCCCACATTCGTTTCAGACTTTTTTCTTCAAAAGAGCATGAACGACATTTTGTGTCATGAAAACTATTGCTATTTCTCAATTATAAAGAAAACATAACTTACTTAAAAGCAGTGACTCTGTTTTCTTTTTTTTGGCATTAATGTTGCAGCTATATCAGGACTATAAATGCTTATACTTTTTAAATACATTTATTTAATAATGAAATTGTCTGTCTCTCCCACTAGACTGTCAGTTCCATGATGGAGAGAACCCATTTGTTTTTGCTCACCATTGTATTCCCAGCACATAATCCAGTTCGTGGCACATAGTAGGTGCTTACTAAATATTTGTTGAATGAGTGGATGAATGAATGAATGAATGAATGTGTTTCATTTTCCAAAGCAAGTTTGAAATTCACCTTTCCCATTATGCTACTTAGCACAGGAGAAAGAAAACCATGATTTAAAAAATGAAATATAATGTAGTTTACAGGGATTGTCCTGAGGCCATTTAGTTGATGTTTGGTGTTAATGAAGTGCTGGTTGAGGCTTTTAAAATTGTAGTGGCTGTTCTCAAATAGTGCAAGATTCAGTATACTATATTTATAGAAAATACACTATATAGTATTTTAAATATTTCAACAAAACACTTAAAGACTATTTTCTGGTTTACTTTGCATCTCATTCCTGGCTCATTAAGTCAGTCAGGGTATTTTTGTGAATATGAAATCATTGTTCTCTGTTAAAAGAACATTCAATAAAAGATGATTCAGCCGAAACCGGTTTGGCTCAGTGGTAGAGCATCGGTCTGCGGACTAGAAGGTCCCAGGTTCGATTCCGGTCAAGGGCATGTACCTTGGTTGCGGGCACATCCCCGGTGTGGGGTGTGCAGAAGGCAGCTGATTGGTGATTCTCTCTCATTGATGTTTCTGACTCTCTATCCCTCTCCCTTCTTCTCTGTAAAAAATCAATAAAATATATTTTAAAAAAATGATTCAATTTTTTTTAAAAGAAAAAACATTTGCACAGTTTTCCTTTAAAAAGAACTAATTATTTTGAAAAACAAAATATGTTAAAATGTATTTTTTATCGACTGTAATGAATTATTCGGCCCTCACCTTAAGTAGGCAATGTTTATAAAATCTTACTGGTCCTTTCCTATAACCCTCCTTTTTTAGATCTCTCTGTGACTTTTCCAATTTGTTTCCACTTTTCTTAATTCCCCTAGTCAACTCTAGCATACTTTCCTTTCAGACCTTATATATATATTTTTTAATCCTGAGGGTATGTTTTTTTTTTTTTTTTTTTTTTTTTTTTTAATATATTTTATTGATTTTGTACAGAGAGGAAGGGATAGAGATAGAGAGTCAGAAACATCGATGAGAGAGAGTCATCGATCAGCTGCCTCTTGCACACCCCCTACTGGGGATATGCCCGCAACCAGGGTACATGCCCTTGACCGGAATCGAACCCGGGACCTTTCAGTCCCCAAGCCGACGCTCTATCCATTGAGCCAAACCAGTCCCGGCCTGAGGGTATGTTTTTACTGGTTTTTGTTCTTTTGGAGGGAGGGAGGGAGGGAGGGAGGGAGGGAGAGAGAGAGAGAGAGAAAGAGAGAGAGAGAGAGAGAGAGAGAGAGAGAGAGAGAGAGAGAGAGAGAGAGAGAGAGAGAGATTGGAAACATTGATGGTTACCTCCACTGCAACCTTTTGGTGTAAGGGACAACTGTTCCAACCAACTGAACTACCAGGCCAGGGCCTTTCAGTCCTCACCTTTTTCATTTGTTTTGTTTTGTTAGTCCTCACCTGAGGATTTTTCTATTGAGTTTTAGAGAGTAGAAGGAAGGGAAGAGGAGAGAGGGAGGAAAAGAGAGAGAAAGGAACACAGAGAGAAAAAAACACGAACGTGAGAGAGACACATCAATTGGTTGCCTCCTGCATGCGTCTGGACCTGGGCCAGGGACCAAACCTATAGCTCGGGTATGTGGTTTTGACCGGGAATCCTTTGGTGTGCAGCCCACTGCTCTAACCACTGAGCACACCAACCAGGGCTCAGTACTTTTCCTAATGGGCCTTCTGAGGTGGATTTTTATGTATCTGTGAGCTAGGGAGGAGAGTGAGAGAAAGGAAAGCTTTTGATTTTTAAGGGGTTCACGTAAGTAAGGAAGCTGCATAAACACTGAAAGCAGCATGGTTGGTGCAGGAGTCAGGCTGGACAGAGAAATCATGAGTCAGGCCATCCATGAGTGAGTAAGGAGAGGTTTGGCAGATGACTGCAGAGATAAGAGGGAGAAGGTAGTATGGCCAGATCTTTAGAATTTTTTTTTGATTGAGAATGTGTTTTTAGATGCAAATGAGAGTATAGTTGTTTAAAAGTGGCAGCAGGAAGATAGAAAATGCAAAAGCTTGTAGAGATAGGGACTTTTGAACAAAATGTGGTTTTTAGAAGGAACAACATAAAGGGTTAGGAAAGAAGCAAGTCCCTAGGCTGAGGAAGGAAATAAGGACAGAGGGAATGAGAAGAGTAGGGAACAGGAGACGGGTTGGGGTGAAGTTGTATTTCAGGGATGGAAAATTATTCTAGTAAGAGGCAAGGTTAAAGGCAATTCACTTCTGTTGTTTTAACTTTGTCTTAGACTGATCCAATGGCAGGACCACCTGAGGGTTGCAAGCAGGGCTTGGCTTGGTCTCAGAGAGTTGGGGTGGCCAGGAGGTTTTGCAGAGGTGCAGGCTGTCTTGGTGTCAGAGGTAGTGCAGTAACTTCTATGAGCAGGGGTGGGAAATAGTGTCATAATCCAATAGTGTCATAATCCATAATAGTGTCAGTAAATCCAATAGTGCTTTGGATTTACTGTCCTTTGAGAGCAAAAACCAGTGGACACATGGCATTCCAAGTTAAAGAGCCGTTAGTTGTTTAGTCCGTGTAAAACTGTTAAAAATAACTTAGGGAGTTTAAGGCTGATCAAACCCCTCAGGACAAATTTATAGCAGAAATGAAGTGTGGCTTCAATTTTGTTTTTAATATTACTGTATTTGATTTGCAATCCAGCAGAAAGGTAAGGTTAAGTAAATTGCCTATGACATGTGATGATTAGAGGTGGAGCCATAATATGAATCCAGTCTTGCATATTAAACATGATATTTGGTCTTTTTGACACCAAAATTAAATTTTTGCTTTATTTTCTTTTTATATAACTCCCCGAGAAATATTTTCACTTTTGCCTTTCATAGGAAGATGATATTCCATTTTACAGATAGGAAAATCATGTTTCTTAACCTTTTGAATTTTGTTTCTATAAGTTGTTGATTTGAAGTCCTTTGCCCATTTTGCATTTTCTTTTGTATAGCTCTTTATATGTAGAGAATATTAATAATTTTCAGGTTTTACTGTTTATTTTTAACTTTTAAATGATTCCTAATGCATAGAACCTAATTTTATGCAGTCATATCTGTAGCTCTTCTAAAATGTGATTTTTGGTATTTGTTTCATCTTAGACTTTCCCTGAATTTTCTTCTAAATTGTATTCTTTCATTTAAAAAATGTAGTCTTTCTGGAATTTATTAAATGTGCATTGAAGATCTGATGGTGACATTTCCTAACTAGGTAATTTCTCAATGCATAGTGTTGACTAAGTTGCAGGTGCTCTGAGAGCAAGGCTCATACTGTAAGCTTTGTGTGCAGTTTGGTGGAGTTCAACTGCCTGGTCTGAATATTGGCTCTGCCGTTTCCTGGCAGTGATGAGTTTATCCTCTCTGATCCCATTTCCCTATTTGTAAAATAATGTCAGTTACAATAGCATAGGATTCTTAAGATCAAATGAGATTCCACCTGTAAAGTTCTTATTCTTCAATTTTAGGATTGTATAATGTCAAGGACAGGGTAGAACACTTACTGTTAGCAACTATCAGTATTTCCATTATAATTATTCATTTGTATAACTGCAGGGAATGTTTCCTGGAGTTAATAACATCTCATATTTCGAAGAGTCTTTGGAGATTATCTAGATTAAATAGATAATTCTTGATATCATTATTTCTTAAACCTCAGTAAACATCAGTCACCTGGAAGAGCTTTGGAAAGTCAAAGTTGCAGGCCTCAACTCTGACTGATTTACTAAATCAAAATCTCGGGGATGTATGGCCCAGTCATTTATAATTTTGACATACTTTCCATGTGATTTTTATGCATTTGGCTTGACAGTGGCAAGAGGTTGTCCACCTTCTTAAAAACGTGCCATGTTGTAATATTTGTGGACTAATAAATTTGATGAGCTAATAAAAAGCAATTGTTTTTTGTCTTCCCATTATGTTAAATGTATGAGGATAGGTGGTTTTGCCCTTTCCTCATGGATCAGTCAGTATTTTTTTTTTTTAATTCTCATTCATCTTAACTTTATTTCTCCAAAGTTAGTCATAATTTTTAGATGTGAAAGATACTTATTTCTTGTAAATTACTAACACTACCAAACATTTTTACTTCGTTCTGATGGAATACTATTCTTTTTTAAAGTTAGCTTTTTAATGAAGTTATTAATTCTGAAATAATTCTCTAATATATTTCTATTTTTAGAACTTTTTGACAACTACATGCAGCAAGATGCCCATGAGTTTTTAAATTACCTACTAAATACAATTGCTGATATATTACAAGAAGAAAGAAAGCAGGAAAAACAAAATGGCCGTCTCCCGAATGGTAACATTGACAGTGAGAACAACAACAGCACACCAGACCCAACATGGGTTCATGAGATTTTTCAGGGAACATTAACTAATGAAACCAGATGTCTTACTTGTGAAACTGTAAGTACATTGTAACAGTTTGTATAGAACAACATTTAATTCATTATTGTAAAAGTTCTTTGAGGATAAGTATGAGAGATAAACTTGGAAGCTGTAATTCTTAAGTGTAGGATAAAAGCTGTAATTCTTAAGTGTAAGATAAAAGCTGTAATTCTTAAGTGTAGGATAAATGTTAAAGATGGACTTGTTAGGTGAAAAGAATTCCTTGACATGAAAGCATGGAACAAAGTGGACACAGCAATGGGGTGATGAAGGCCTGGGGTGGTGGGGCGGGGCCAGGGGCGGGGTGGTGGTGGTGGTGGTGGTGGTGGAAGGCTGGAGGGAGTCTAGTGGGGGAAAGGGGGACATATGTAAAACTTTCAACAATAAAGAATTATTTTTAAAAAGGAAAAAAAAATAATCTCTCTAGATTTTCATAATACTGCTTTTGTGAACACCTTCGGTGACAGAAAAAGACTGCAGTGAGCTGTTTGATTTTGTTTCATTTCAGAAAGCCATAGACCCTTGTCTGGAAATCATGTATTAGTTCAGCTCATAAGAAACTTTGAGGTCAGGGAGGTATATTATTTTTTTCCTCTGTTACAGTTATATTTATTGTATAAGGTTGGAATAAAGACTAAAGCATATTGTTTTGAAGAGGGAAAAATACTCACTTGCCAAGGCCTCAGTGGCTGATGTGGAGCATCTTTTCATGTGCTTATTTGCCATCTGTATATTTTCTGTGGTTAGGTGTCTGCACACCTATTTTTCCTATTTTTAAAATAGGGTTGTTTTCATGTTGTAAGAGTTCTTTGTATATTTTGGATACCACTTCTTTATTAGATATGCCTTTTGCAAATATTTTCTCCTAATCTGCAGTCTGTCTTCTCATTCTTTTAACAATGTCTTTGGCAGATCAGAAGTTTTTAATATTTGAGTTTTAAGATTTTTATATTAGTAAAGTCCAGTTTTTTCCCTTCATGGTAATATTGTTGGCGTTCTTGAAATGCTTTTGGTGTTGTATCAAGTTTTTACCAAACTCAAGGTTGTCTAGATTTTCTCCTATGTTAATCTTTTAGGAATTTCATAGTTTACATTTTATAATTTGTGAAAGGTGTAAGATCAATGTCTAGATATTTTTTCTTTGAATGTAGATGTCAAATTGTTCTAACACTGTTTGGGGGGAAAAAATCATAACACATACCAGTGAGTGATCTATTGAGTGTTGATTAATTTTTTATTTTATTTTATTTTTATTTTTAAATAAATCTTTATTGTTCATATTATTACAAATGTTCCTCATTTCCCCCCCCTCCATTGCTCCCCTCCACCAGGTTCCCACCCCACCCTCTGCCCTTTCCCCACCCCCCATTGTCCTCATCCATAGGTGTACAGTTTATGTTCAGTCTCTTCCCTCATCCACCACTCCCCTTTTCCTGAGAATTGTCAGTCCACTCCCCTTCCGTATCTCTGATTCTATTATAATCAACAGTTAATATTGTCCATCAGGTTTTTTAATTTCCTTTTTTTTAAATTAATAAACTTTTATATTTTTAAGAATAAATTTTAAAATCTAATAATTTTAAACCTTGTTTACATATAAACTTGCCCTTAGGCTATCAAAAGGCGTAGCCATTCAAATGTAAATGAACACATTGTTTAAAGTTAGCTGCTGGCTGGAATTGGATTACCTGTTCTGGATGGGAAGGACTAGTCCTCCCCTTTCTCCATTAAAATTAAGGTGTTATCTTTAAAACCTCTTTTTGGCAAGAGACCTTAAACTTTCAGAACTTTAAATTTTTCAGATAGTAAATCAATTACTTAGCATTTTCTCAAATCAATAATATCTCCACATGCCCAAGGATACATTTCACACAAAAGACACTTCCAAATAGATCAACCAACCTCATCCAGACCCCACACAAGGCACTCACAGATCAACAGCCCAGCGCTATACTAACTCAACAAATCCAGATCTAAGCCTTCATCATTTGATTCAGCAGACCCTCAAGTTTCCCCAAAAGTTTCCAGCCATGTCTGAGAAGCAGCCCTGGGGCAGGGGCAGGCGAGGAGCAAGCTGCTCCGGGCCTGGCTGCTCCCGACCCGGCTGCTCTGGGCCCGGCTGCTTTGGGCCTGGCCGCTTCGGGCCTGGCCCCTCCCAGCCTGGCTGCTCCGGGCCTGTCTGTTGCTGCTCCGGGACTGGCCGCTCCTGGCCTGGCTGTTCTGAGCCTGGCTGCTGCTGCTCCGGGTCTGGCTGCTCCAGGCCTGGCCGTCCTGGGCTTGGCCGCCTCCGCCCCAGGCCTGGCTGCCTCTGCCCCAGGCCTGGCTGCTCCGGGCCCGGCTGCCGCTGCCCTAGGCCTGGCCACTCTGGGCCTGGCTGCCGATGCTCCAACATTCTGTCTTCTTCTTCTTCTTCTTTTTTTTTTTAAATGCATTAATGTTGTGATGTTGGCTGCTGAGTTGAGGTCTGTCTTAATCTTCGATTTTTCAAGATCTTCTTTGTGTTCTTTCTTAAGTAATTTTACTATCTTTTTGCTATAACTTGATTTCTTCACATTGAAAACTTCTTCGGTTTCTTCCTCCTCGTCCAGCAGGCTGGCCCGCAGCGCCCCCTTGTTCTCCCGGGCCTCCTGCGAGGCTTCAGCCTGTTGCTGGGGTTGGCTCCACCCAGGAAGCAGCCCTCCGCCTCGGCTTCGTGGCGGGCGATCAGCGGTCAAGGGCGCAGAGGCACCTCCCCCCCGGGGGCCCCGTCGCCTGGCTCCTTGCGGGCGCCTGGTGGCGGCTCCCGCTCCTCATCGCGCTCCTCCCAGCCTGGAGCCTTTGTCTCCCTCCTGCCAGGGCAGTCTAGCATCAGAGTCAACAGTCCGTCCTCTGCGCGCAATGTGCGCAACTCTGGGGGCTCTGCTTTTCGCACTCCCCTGGGATTCCGCCTCACAGCCCCGCCTCCCTCTGTTTGAGCCTGAGTCCCAACTGGGGTTCAGTGCTGTCGATTCTGGGGTTCAGCCCAGTCCGGAGCTTTTATTTCCTTCCCGCTAGGGAACGCCAGCCAGGTACTCAGCCTCCCCCTCCTCTCCGGCTCCATCCACTCCGTGTGCACAGCGTGTCTCCGAACCTTAGGCTTTTCAGCTCCTCTGATTTTCCTTCTGGTTTTCTCTTTCCTTCTTGTTGTAGAATTTTCAGTCAGTCGACTTCCTGTAGCTCTGGGCAATGTCCATTTTATATTTTACTTGTATTTTATTGAAATTGTTGTGTGCGGTTGCGGTTAGGTGTTTACCTGTGCAGCAATCTTGGATCCTCCTGATTAATTTTTTAAACTATAAACTTGGCATTTGCAGAATGATCATTGTCAATACTGTGACTTTAATTAATGAAGAACATAAGTAATAAATAAAATTTTCTTTTCTAAATAAATTTGTATTGGTGAGCGGCTTTCAAGTTAAAGAGGTATGACTGAATGCTTAAATACTGGTACATTAATAGCCTGTGAAGATGTTTTTGAGTTAGAGTAAGGAGAGTAAGGGTATCTTTGGTGCTGTGCTCTGTACTTTGCTGCAACCATCAGTTAAATCCAGCAATGGCTTTGAGTGGTCAATGTTTGATGTTAGTGATTCAATTCAATATTCATTTTTATTCAATTTAATAAAATTCAATTTTTTACTGAATTAATTGGGGTGGCATTGGTTAATAAAATTATATAGTTTCAGGTGTACGATTCTATAATACATCATCTGTATGTTGTATTATGTATTTACCACCCTAATTCAAGTCTCTTTCCATAATCATTTATACCCTCTTTATCCTCTTCTGCCTGCTCCCTCCCCATTTCCTTCTCAACTTTAATTATTTTAACATGAGGTTTTTTTTTTATATATCTTATAAAGAAATTTTTTTTTTATTGTTACTGAATTCTAAGCTTCAGGAAACATTGACAGATTATTTGAGCAGTACTTCATTTGGAATAATAGTTGTAAATTAGAGAATTTGGCAGTTGCTTGATGTTTAGTATAATAGAATTTGGTCTGTGTTAGAAGATATATATAACTCAACCTTCTTCATTGAAATAGAAAAGAATTGAATTTGTTTAGTATGTTGAACAATGAAGTAATAGGTGAGACTGGCAAGGTAGGTTTGAGAATCTTTGTGGAGGTCTTTGGGATGCTCTGCTAAGGACTTTGAAGTTTATTTTGTAGACTGGGGATATTGGGAGATTGGGAGAAAGTTATATCAGCCATCCTTATTAGTGGTCAAATATTTATTAATTTGATTTGTAATGTGTAGATAGTGATCTGTCTACCTCTACTTCACTAGGACCTCCTGTGGTCTATTAATATATATTTGTAGGTAGTCTTCCATGAATGAGGGAATTGAACATATTTGCTCATAATCTAAGATGTAATTTTGCAGATTCAGGAGATGTTCACTAGTACCAAACTTCATTAGTTTTGCACAAATATTTAAATAACCAACTATGCCAGGTAAAAGATGGGTGAGGTTGGGGGAAGATGAATAAGACATGATTTCTGGTCTCGGGATGCTCATAGGGTATTGATGTCCACTCAACAACTAGTCAGGCAGTTCCAGTGTAATGTGCATGGTTTAGGGAACCAGACACAAGAGGCCATGGAGCCAGAGAACAGTAGACCTAATCCAGGTAGGAGTGGGAAGTATTTGGGAAGGTTTGGATGGGCTTCCTGGAGAAGGTAGTGCTTGTATGGCAGATTTTAGTGATGCAGTTGTTACTCTTCTATTTGGTAGGAGGCTGATTTCTTTCTGTAGCAACATTCTCTTCTGGTGTTTTTTGTTTTGTGATGCTTCTTTCTTGCTCTCATTACTTGGCTTTTCTTCTTTCATTTATCCTTTTCAGGTAACTATCCTCCAGAGTTTCATTTTGGACTGCCTCTCACTCTGTATTGGGAAGGTTATGTTCCATTAACCACCTGTGCTAACGACTTCCCAGTTAGACTTGTTCACTTAGTTTTAGACCTGTATCTCCCACATATGGGGTCTGACCTCACATTGAGACATAGAGGCACAACAATAACCAGAAATGTTTACAAACATTTAAAAGTTAAGTACTGCCCCACTTAGCAATCAGTTGGCACCAACACAATTAATTGTGAACACAAACATAGGTAAGTAACTAAGATATATCCAGATGATCCAGAGCATCCTTATGTCAAATTTTTTGTTACCATAAAAATAAAAATTTAAGATGAAGACTCCTGAAGACAGTGTCTGAGAACCATAAACCTCATTTTGAGAAACACCATACTCCTTCATCTTTATTTCTCTTTGGGCCTGTCTGATCTGATACAAAGCTGATCTGTTATACATCCCTGCCTGATCTGGCTTTAGCCTGCCTCTCCCATACTCTCTCTTATCACCCTACCCACTTTCCTACAACACCAGGCTAATTATTTAAAATACATCATATCTCTTTCCTCTGTTACTTGTCTTTCTTCCCCTTCTTCCTTCACTTCTTTTTCACTGAATCTTTCAAGACCCAGATGAGTTAGCTTGCATTGCATACACATACTCCTGTTTATTCCTATTTGCACAAGTATCTAATATGTATAGTTATATAATGTCACAAGCTAATGACTTTGAGCTTATAACGATGCATTTGAAACAGAAAAGCATTTATTGGATTGGGTTTATAGTCATTGTGGGTGAGAGACACAGGGGAACTGAGTCAGGCTTTTCTCCTATTTTATGGTCACCTTGGACATGAAGTCACTGAAGGAGGAAGTAACAAGGAAAATTGATGTCTAAAATTTTGGTCTAATCCAATTCAAATGAATAAGTAATCATTTTTATAAGGTGATTTGCCCATAAGTCAAATAGAATTTTATATTAGTTTGTTTTTTTTGTTTGTTTTTTTAGAAATAAAAGGTCATAGATGAAGCCTGGGATTTGTCATTTTGGGCTAAATTATTTTCTTAAATGATAAAACAATACAGGTATCATGTCCTTTGCCAAGCATTCTCATTCATTCTTGGCCTGCCTGTGTTTTTTAAGAATTGGTGCATATGGTACAGTTTGTTTCATACTTTACAAAGACTTTGGAAAATAATGGCATTTCATACATAACTAGCCTTTGCCAATAAGAGGATTAGTCACAGGTAATGAGCGTTATTTATACACTGTTCTTTTGAATAATCTAAATCAAGTCTTTTTCTTTTGAACTTGGGGGAAAAAGGATTCTTCATATATATATTACTAATATTAGAATGCACTTAATTATATCATTTTGGAACAGTGGTTTACTGATATTTGAAAAAAATCAAAGATAATTTTCTATTTTTATAGATAAGCAGCAAAGATGAAGATTTTTTAGATCTTTCTGTTGATGTGGAACAAAATACATCAATTACTCACTGTTTAAGGTAAGAGTAGTCATTCATCATGAATTCTAATGAATATTTTTAGAGTATTTCAAAATGAATACATGATTTTCTTGTATAGACAAAATAAATTTATTTTGAATTTTATACAGGGGTTTTAGCAACACAGAAACTCTATGCAGTGAATATAAATACTACTGTGAAGAATGTCGCAGCAAACAGGAAGCACACAAACGGTAATTTCGTGTTTTTGGAATTTTTCAGTGAATCTTTGGCAGTAGATGTTGTAGATGGGCTTTTCTAGCTGAAAGTGATCTATGAAAATTTATACTGAATAAAAATTCTTAATTTTATCACCAATAGTGAAGACTTATTAAGTAATTTACTAGATAAACATTAACTCTAACCGCAGTGATTTTTTTGCAATTAATGATCTATACTAATAAAAGAGAAACATGCAAATTAACTACATCCACAAGTCATGCGGACTAGCCAATCAGGATTGAGAATGCAAATTAACCCAACCAAGATGGCGGCCAGCCACGGAGCAAGCAGGATGTTTAGGTTTCCCTGGCAATGGAGGAAGCAAAGATTTCTGCCCACTCTGGTTGGCCCTGGCCTCTGCTCAAGGTTACAAAGTTTCAATTATAGAAGATAAATAAATCCCAGATCCCAGGGCCTCTGCTTGGGTCGCCAGGGAGAATGGCTGGCCCGCAAACCATCACAGGCTCCTCGCCCACACCCCAAGGGAACCCCAACCCTGATCCGGGATATCCTTTAGGGTGAACCAGCCAGCCCCCACCCATGTACCAGATCTCTATCCTATCTAATAAGAGTAATATGCAAATTACCATCACTCCAACACATAAAATGGCTACCCCCATGTGGACACAAGATGGCTGACACAAGATGACCAGCAGGGGAGGGACCAGGCCTGTTAGGGAGGCAGTTGTGGGCAATCAGGCCAGCAGTGGTGGGCAGTTGGGAGGGGCCAGGGCTTCAAGGGAAAGCAGTTGTGGGCAATTAGGCCAGCAAGGGAGGGCAGTAGGAGGAACCAGGACTGCAAGGGAGGGCAGTTGGGGGGCAATCAAGCCTGCAGAGGAGGACATTAGTGGTGACCAGGTCGGCAAAGGAGGGAAGTTGGGAGCAACCGGACAAGATGGCCAACAGGGTAGGGACCAGGCCTGTAAGGGAGGGCAGTTGTGGGTGATCAGCCATCAGGGAAGGGCAGTTGGGAAGGACCCAGGCTTGCACGGGAGGGCAATTGGGAGGGGGACCAGGCCTGCAGGGGCAGCAGTTGGGGGCAACCAGCCCAGCAGGGGAGGGCAGTTAGGGGTTTCCAGGCCTGCAGGGGAGGGCAGTTAGGGGCAATCAGGCTGTCAGGAGAGTGGTTAGGGGTGATCAGGCTGGCAGGCAGAAGCGGTTAGGGGCAATCATCAAGGTAGGCAGACAAGAGGTTGGGAGCCAGCAGTCCTGGATTGTGAAAGGGTGAGAGGGATCCTGGATTGGAGAGGGTGCAGGCTGGGCTGAGGGTTCCCCCCTTTCCCCCTCCCTGTGCACAAATTTTATGCACTGGGCCTCTAGTTGTTTAATAACCATGAACCAGTACACTTAACCTTTAAAAGACATCATTAAATTTCTGTAGTGGGGTCTCCCAGCCGGATCTTTTTTTGGGCATTTAAATTTGGCTCTGTAGACATTTACTTTTTTGCCTCTATCTTAAATATTTTTTGAGTTATTTATGAAAAGTAAAAACATTTATAAAGAAAATGTATTAAAGTTATCTTTTAACCACTCCTTGCCGGGAACTAAAGTTCCCTTTTGTCCGATAAAGGTTAAAGTATTTGGCTTGGAAGCTTTCTTGATTATGTAAACTTTTTTCTTGGTGTGGTCTAGTTTCTGCAATTCCTGCATAGGATTTTGTACCTTCTCATAGTACATCATTCTAAAGATGGGAGTGGGTACCAAGGAATGGTACCCACATCATCATCCTTGTTATTTATAGACAATCTCAAACTCAGAGAAAAGTTCCAAGAAGTGTAGCAAGAATGCTTTTATACCCTAAACCATTTGAAACTAAGGTCCTGGTGTGATGTCATGATCCTGGACATTTAAGTAGCTGCTTCCTACCAATAAGGAAATTTTCCAATGTACCTTATCCATTCAAATCAGAAAAAGTAATGCTGACATGTAACTGTTATTGTAGATTTGACTTTAGTATCACCAGATGTCCCAATAATGCCCTTTTGAGAAATGAGGATCCAGTCTAGAATCACACATTGCATTTAGTATTCACGTCCCTTTAGTCTTTCAAATTCGGAATCGTTCCTTAGTCTTTTCTTGACTTCAATAATCTTGCCACTTTTCAAAATTGCAGATTAGTAATTACATAGAAAGTCCCTCTTTGGGTTCCTCTCACGTTTTCTAAAATTTGGTTTAGGTTATGTATTTGGGGTGGGGAATCTTACAGAAGTGATGCTATGTTCTTATTGTATCCTGTTGAGTAGCACATGGTTTTGATTTGTCTTCTATTGGGTTTCCCCAAGACCATTCCTGGATTTGGTAGTTGCTAGAAAGACTCAGCATAACAATCATGTTCACAGCTAAGATTTATTACAGGGGAAGGTGACAAAGCACATTCAGCAAGGAAAGCTAGGCAAGCTCCCAAGAGTTTTGTTCTAGAGGAGTCAAACTGAAGACACACTTAACCCCTCCCGTGTTCTGCATAAACCATTTTGTTTGTCTGAACAATTTCACATTGAGACACCCTTCTCATTTAGGGAATGGTGGGACTCTCTAAATCTAGCATGTCAAACTCACAGCCCATAGGCTGCATGTGGCTCACGGTGAATATTTTTGCCAGAATATTCTTACAGCCAGTATAATGGCATGTTAGAAACATTTTAATAAAAATGTCGTCACTTAATTGTTATAATATCCTGTTATATATAATTATCAATAACGACTACAACGCTCGCTAATGACTGATTACTATAATCATGTTGCATTCAATTCTCTTATGCACCTTATGGGCTCAGGAGCACCATTTCTCTCCACTAATGCTAGCAACGAATATTTTAGCAGCTGATTGCCATGCCATTAGTCTTGCATCCATGTATGTGCACAGGAAGTAGCCAAGTAAGCAAGGTGGGAAAGGAAATTTCTAGGAAGGCAGACCCGTGAACACAGAGGTAGCATATTTGAGCTATGCATCTGAATAGTGATTTGTAGTTTTATAAAGAATTTTCACACCATTATTTTTGGTGTACACAACAGGAAATATTCACTTTCGGAGAACAAGAAAAATAGGTTTATTTGCATTATGTTTATTAATTTGTGCAGTTATTCAGTATCTGGTAAGTTAATGTTTAAGAAAAAGTATTCATTTTTATTAAAATGTTCTATAATATTATGTTAACGATTACTCATTTATTTCAGCCCTTTGCACTCAGCATGTCTATAGCAAAATAAACCAATATTTCTATGAAAATTGAAGCTTTTGTTTTTTTTGCAGCCCACATAAACTTAAACCTTGTTTATTTGGCCTGTGTTAGCCTTTGAGTTTGACATGCTTGCTCTAAATCCAAGTTCCCAGTAGTTAATAGTGAACCATTTTTCATGCAGATCTTTCTTATGAGGATTGTGTGAGGGCTGATGTATTAACTATTTTCTTCACACTCCACTACTGATGCTGTTGTCTTTGAACACTTGATTATGGTGATGTCTCCTGGAATTCTCCATTCTTAAGCTATGCTTTTTCCCATTTGTAATTCATATTTTGTATGAAGGTATTTTGAAATTCTAAATATCCCCATTTCTCATTAAACTAATTTTGTTTGTTTGTTTTTTGAAATCTCAGCATGAACTCAAAGGATTTCTATTTTTTTCCAGTGGGTTATGGTCCATTACCATTTTTATTTCTTTTCATGTTCAGATTATCTCTAATTTGGCTAGTAAGAGCTCCTACAAGCTGACTCCTGTCTTTTTTGTTGTTGTTGTAATTTTGTTCCCCTCAGATATATATATATATATATATATATATATATATATATATATATATATATATATATATATATACACACACATACATACACACACATGCACAATTCTCTCTCATATAGATGTGTTGCTTACTCTGTGGGGACTTCTCTACGCCCCCACCTGCACAGATGTCTATCTTTTATGGGCTTACTAATGATTTAACTGAAATGTTCATTAAGGGAAAGGGAAGAACCTAGATTTTTAAATGATTATATTTTTGGACACAGTTTTTTGGACACAGACTTAATTTATTGGTAAGTGAAGTGCTTTGGTAATGGACACAGGTAATCAAAACAGACTACTCAGTATTCCCTTCAGATGTTTGGAGTACCTCAAATAAATTTGACTAGAGACATGGGTGCTGATGTATTAGATTAATCTTGAAAATATTGTAGAAAATGCCTAAGACTTTTGGTTAAGGAAGACAGAGTCAACTAAAAGGAATGTAACTCAAACTTTATTGATTAAATGGAGAAAAGCCCATCTGTGAGCATAAGCTGGTCTTCATATAGCATGATAAGTAACCAAACATGAATTTGTAATTAGGAATTATCTACAGGGTCAAGCTGTTTGTTTTGAAGATGTGTACGTGAGGTTTTTACATTATTTAATATTAATCTTTTATTAAATTACCTGGGGAATATATTGTCTTTGTATAGAAATTAGAAATGTAGCTAAGTATAAAGCACACAAGAATTAAGTATAAATCACACAAGAGTTATCATTCATGAAAAACACTTTGCATTTTTGTATAAATTAAGTGCATATGCATTTATGTATACACATAATTTTTGAAATGGAATCAAACTTTATAAACAGTTTTGTTACTTTTTTCACTTACTGAATTACAACCATGTCAATGAAAACATCAGTCTTAAGAGGTGCTGTATAGTATTTTTTGTATGGTCATACCTGTCTACCACCAGTTGGCTAAATCTAACAATTTAGATTGTTTCCATTTTTCTTCACTGCTTTGATGCACATATTTTGTATGTATACTCACCTCCTCACTCATATATTTTCAGACAGATTTTTAAAGTATTTCTTGTATTGTAGGATAAATTATGTATAATTATGTGGAAATTCACCAAAACAGAAATTATGTATTTTCCACTAGGATGCAATATCAACTCTAACTTGCCTTGTGATATTGGAGAAGTCTTTTTGGGTCTGAGTTTGATTAGTTGATTTCTAA